TTTATGAATATTCTCTAGGATTCCACTAATTGTCCACACTTCTAACATGAGGAATTTGGTTTGGTTAGACTGTTTCCTTTGGCCCCTATGTATTTGACTTTCAAAAGCTAGATAGGTGAAAGCATTGCTTTTAGAACTTGACTTTGTATTTTTGAGTTAGAATCCCTGAAGATCATGTAGCAGCCTAGAGATGCTTTTCTTTTCTGGCTGGAACATCGAGAGAGAGAGTAGCTTGATATATAAATATCTTCACTCAGGACTGAGCAATGTGCCAGATGAGGGATAGTACAATTTTTAGGGGTGTCTATAGTCTAAGTTCCCAGTGAACTCTAGGAAAGGAAAAGGGAATCCATTGAGATGACTGGTGTCCTTCCAATACTAGGGAGTTCTAGAAAGAACTATGGCCTGATGCCACCCTGAGGAGCAGAGAGGCCACTGCTGCTTTGAGATCTAACACTGAGACTCCTAAACCTGGATTTTGTAAGACTACTTCAATAAAAAGCAAGCATTTCTAGGTTTTGCATGAAGGAGTACAGCTTCATATCAAATAAGCAGCCAAATATTACAACACCTTGTTTTCTGAGGAAATGTGTCTGCCTCCACCAAATGTAGAGAAGGTACAGGGACAGCTGATGGAACTAAGCTCCCAGTGGAAGAAGTAAGTGTGGGGATGATCACCTGGTTACAAATATGCCTTTTTGGCTGGGCACAGCATGGGCATGAAGTAAAAATGGAGAGTTCTGTTAAAAAAGAGGATAGACTAGATACCCTAGATACTTAGATAAATTAGATACCCTAGACACAGATAATACTAGCAATTCTTCATCTGAAATTCAAACTGAACCGAGAGTTCTGTATTTCTGTTTGCCATTTGTGGCAAGGCATAGGGAGGTGGTAGAAATAGATGCATTTGGAGGACGTAGTGCGGGGGGGAAGTGGTAAGACTGGAGGATGGCTTGGCTTCAGGAGGGAAAGAGGTATGGCAGGAGGAAAAGTGGCCATTGGGGGATGGTGGTGCTGTTTCCAGGGCCACCTCTAGCTCATGTGGCATCTTTACATAGCTTGAGAAAGACATGCTTCCAAAAGAAACAGCTGGTAAATATGCACCTGGGTGAGCTGTGTGCAAGCTGGATTTCAGCCCCTATTTGCCCATTGTGCAGTGAACTTTTTGTACAACCAAACGTGGTCATCCTGTGCTCTTCCCTGAAATAAGGAATGCTGGGGAAGAACAGGTTTTCTGGGAGAAGGTCAGCATTGGGCGAGTTGATTTTGAGGGGCCTGTGACACACACAAGTGGAACTGCCCAAGTTGTAGTTAGGCATATAAATTGGGGTCTGGATATATGCATGGGAAAAACAAACACTTCTGTGAAAACTGTACCATGTGGATTTGGGGTCTAGATATTCATTACCCAATTAGAATGTTGATCCCAAACTGAGCAATGAGCTCAAATTGACCTTTGAACCTTAGAGACGTGAGGAAAAGTAAATTCTCTTTGGGAGCACTTCTCCACTTCAGGGCACAGGGGATCCCTAGAAATGAGACCCACTTAAAGCTGGTGTGGTGGCACATGCCTGTAATCCCAGTGGCTCTGGAGGCTGAGAAAGGAGCCAGTCTCAGCAACAGTGAGGTGCTAAGCAACTCAGTGAGATCCTGTCTCCAAATAAAATACAAAATAGGATTGAGGATGTGGCTCAGTGGTTGAGATCCCATGAGTTCAATCCCTAGTACCAAAAAGAAAAAAAAAAAGATGTGAAAAAATTACAAATTATAATTGGACCCACCATAAGGGAAGAGTCAACAGATGAAACTCAAGCCAGTTTAGGTGATTAACCATGTTGAGCAATATGATACAAATTACCAGGATCATGGTGCACAAAATCCCATTTTGTAGTAACCTGACACCCAGGGGTTAGCTTTTTCCAGTGTTGGCTAATTGACATTAGAGGGAGGTTTAGGGATGGTAATCTGAGACTTGGGTGGGGCTAGAGGACCTGTCTTTTGAAATTGTGTTTGCCAGGCAGGACAGATTTTTAAATTGTATGTTTACTTGGGGGAGATGAGGAAGATTTCAGGGGTGACTGACCCTGCCCCCCAACTGTGCTTGGTGTTACCTTGACTATTGCTTCTAATTTTAGTTCTTTCCTTCGTAGAATCTTTGGTGGTATAAGAAAAAAATGGATGAGAGGGAAACTAGAATTTTTCATGTTTTCCTTAGTTAAGTAAATGTCAACCCATTCAGAACCAGCTCCCCAGAAAATGATGAGGGGTGGGGGAGTAGGGGACAATGCAGCCTAAAAAAATCCCTTTATAAGTTGGATGGCTCATCCAACCGCTTTTTCTTGAGCCAGAATTTCCCAAATGGTGTTTCTTTTTTTTTAAAGAGAGAGAGAGAGAGAGAATTTTAATATTTATTTTTTAGTTATGGGCGGACACAACATCTTTGTTTGTATGTGGTGCTGAGGATCGAACCTGGGCTGCACGCATGCCAGGCGAGTGTGCTACCGCTTGAGCCACATCCCTAGCCCCTAAATGGTGTTTCTTGCATGCCTGGGTATGAGAAAGAAAGGTTTGTAAGGTCAGATTAGTTTGGACGTGCTTTATTTAAAAAAAAAAAAAGGAGTGTATTTGCTTTTTAGGGCTGCCATAACAAAGTACTACAAACTGAGTGGTTTAAAATAAGAGAAATTTATTCTCTCATAATTCCGGAGGCTAAGAGTGTAAAATTAAGATGTCAGCAGGGTTGGTTCCTTCTTGGAGGCTCAGGGAAAGGATGTAACCCATGCCTCTCTCTTAGTCTCTGGTGGTTGAACATATCTATTTGAGAAAACAAGTCAACCCACAATAGGGTCTAGGGAAAAAATCTCAAAAATCGAATCAGATGTATTTTACAATTTCTTACAGGTTTTACTTTTTGTGATTCTACAAGAGGGAAGGCAGCATGATGCTTTTCTGAAACTCAAGTAATCTGAAAAACATGTTTATGTTTATGGAGTTATCTCATGTGACTAGTGTTCTGAGGGACATTTCGGAAACAGTATCTTGGGTGAGTGAGGAAAAAGTACAGTAGTTTCTCATTAAACCTGTTAAGATGCGGTCACTCATTTTTGCTATGTGGCCTAATGACTATAGTCTGGCTGCCTGATGGCAGTTGCTTCTTTTGGCTGTCCTGCCTTGGGGTGGAGATGGAATCTTTGTGGGAGCTCTCATTCTCATGGTGAGTCTGGGGTGATATGGTAGAGGAGACAGGCCAATTCAGGCCATCCTGGGAAGACCACATATTCATTTTTCTGGAGTTTATGGCTATGGGGCTGTGGTTTCAGATAGCCCAGAACTTTCATGATGTTGCGTTTTCTGAACCTTGAAAGGGGACATAGTATCTGCACACTCAAAAATGTTTTGGAGGATAAATGACAGGGCTGCTCTGTTTGGATGGGTTGGTTATGTGATATATGCTTCTAGAGGCCCTGTTCACAGTATACACGTGGTAGATCTAAATTTCTTAAAGTAGAGTGGTCTGTTTTCAAAACACCTCTATTTTGTGACAACTTTTTTTTTTCCCCCAGCAAGTGACATTAAAGTGTCTTGAGGAAGAGGCACCCTTTTCTAGTTGGCAGGAAAGTGGCAATGGTATAGTTAGTGGTCCTAAGTGTGAAGAAGAAGCCATGGTGGACTCTTGGAATGTTAGATATGAATGGGCTCAGAGAAAGGACTGGTTAGGACTCTAGCTTACAAGTAACAGAAACCCAGTTTCCACTGGCTAAAACCAAAAGGGGAACAAATTAATTATCAGAACACAAGGATAAGGATGTAGCTGAGACTCTGGAACATACAGATCCAGGGACTCTTAACAAGGCTGGGTCCTCTTCAGTCTCTCTACACCTTTCTTCTGCTCCTTTCCATATATCTGTGACCTGCTTTCTTCCTATCTTAGTCTCCATAGTCCAAAACACTGGTAGATAATTCCTGGGTGTTCTAGGTTAGAGGGTGTCCTAGCTCTTCTTTCCCTTCAGCTACCATTGCATCAATAAAATTTAGATAAAAATTATCATAAACCTAAAACCCCTAAATTTCCAGCTCTTGTAGAAGAGGAAAATGGAGAAAGAAATATAAAGAGAAAGCCACTATATAAATACTCAGAGCTGTTTCTTGATTCACTATTTTCATAGCTTTCAGGGCTGGTGCCAAAAAGATGTTCTGAAACAGTGAAGAAGACTGTGTTATTGGGAGTTAGGATGGCAGAGAGCTTGACAATCTCTACTTCATTGGGTTTTGGTTATATTTCAATCTGTGCCCCCCCCCCCCCCGCCAATTTGTGAAGTAGGTATTCTTAGCTCCACTTTTCAGATGAGGACGCTGAAAAGAGCCAAGACTCCAACTTAACCAGAGTTCGTCTAACGCCAGAGCTTATCAAAAGCAACTCTTATTAATCAACACAGACTGATGAATGATGAATGAAAAGCTCTGATGGGACATGTCTGTTGATTTCTGGGATAACCACGGATCTCCTAGAGGTGGGACGGGGTGAGTAGCGTTGCCCTCCTTGCAATAATCACTGCCACTTTTTTTGTGCAGTTATGTATTAGGTAACTGTGCCAGGTTTATGATCTCATTTAATCCTTAGGATAATCGTATGAGATTGATTCCATCATTATCTCTATTTTTACGGGTTAGAACACTGAGCCTTTTCCCGAGCATTCTGTGAATAAATTCCTAGTAGCGAAATGCTTAATATAGTGCTACATTAATAAATTAACAAAGCTCTCTGCGGACCAACTGGGTTGAAACCCGTCTCCTGACATTTCCACCCCCGCCACTGAGTGACGTCACGACCAACGCGACCTCTGTGTTCCTAGCCAAGTTCCACCTTTGCTATCTCGCGAGAAACCTGGTTTCTTCCGACCCCGTCTTGGACATGCGCGCGGCGCAGGGTGCTTCGGTTGCCGCAGTTTGATGGTTTTATGTCAGTCTTGTTACCCTGAAGGTTTCACAGAGCTCTTCTTTCCCTTCAGCTACCGACATCTCGCGAGATCGGCTAGTCGGCCCGCCCTCCTGCGCCTGCGCAGTTCTCTTCAAAGCAGAAGGTCGCGTTTGGAGGAAGTGGCGGCTTTGGGTCTCGTGACCGAGTCGCCGTTACTACTTTTCGGAAGCTCCTCTCGGCCGCTTGCCGGGACACTCTGCCGCCAAGATGCCACGAATTATGATCAAAGGGGGCGTGTGGAGGAACACCGAGGTGGGTCTCCTTTTCCCGCCGGTCGCTGCCCTCCGCCCCCTCCGACAGCTGTGCGCACGCGCGCGGAGGTTTGGGAGGCGAGGAGGATGCCCTGCGGGGTCTGCGCGGGGCCTCAGCGCGAGAGCGGATGCTCGGGGCCTTTACCTTGTCTGGCGGTGTGTTATCTTAGCGCCTCCAGGACAGGGATCGCGATTTAACCACCTGGCGCTAAGCTCTGAGCTCACTGCGAGGCATCTGTTGGGCCCTTAGTGAATGTTTGTTGAATTGAGGGCGCGCCCCCTTCCTCCTTTGGAGGAACTCTAGCGGGGGAAATGGGACGTCAGCGAGAGTTGATTTCTGGGGCAACACCCTCTCAGTCCGTGCAACCTCTCCGTCTCTGGGACTCAAAAATAAAGCAGTTGCTGTGGCCACAACTTTGGTTTTCATTGACTCCCTTGCACTGGGAAAGAAACTTGAGTGCCAGGTTCGAAGAGCCCGTTTATGCACTCATCGCTTTGCTTATCTGTTATCGAGGCATAACCTGTCTGTCCTCCCGACAGATCCCAAGGTCTCGCTCTTTCTTAACTTCCTGTTATTCTTGCCTTTGCCTGGATAGAAGCCAGACAGAACAAACTGCCTACCACAGTTTTTACTTTCAAAAAACGGTAGTGGATAATGCCCTGGGTGAGCCCAAGGGCAGTAGAACTGGAGTAAAATGGAAATTAAGTTTTAGTGCAGGTTGCATTCAGACTGCACTGAATTTACTAGTTCCCAGAATGCATCTTCAGGCACTCTGTTTACCTCCTGTGCCTTCTCGGAATGTGTTTTTACTGCTTGGCATCCTCCTGACCATCCTTCAAACCAAGTTCAGAAACACATCTTGAATCTTTGCTCATCCACCCTGTAAAAGTTAGTTGCATCCCCAGGAGTCTTGGGTACCTCTTTTGTCCATTTATTATAGTTTGTTTTGTTCTTTTGCAAGCATCATATCTTTCTATGCAATGATGTATAAGTTTCTTACCTCTTACCACCTCCGTTTCCTCATTTTTTTTTTTTTAAAGAAGATAATTTCTACTGCTCTTGAGGATTAAATGGGTTAAGACGTTGGGAGTATTTACAACAGAATCAGCACATAGTAGTCTTTCAGTAAGTGCTAGTTGTTGGCTTCCCTCACCAGACAGCATTGCAAAAGGACCAGGTCTTGGTAGACTTAGGACCTAGGATAGTGGCCAACATGAAGTAGGTTGTTTGTCAGATGTTTGGGAATGACTAGTAGGGTGGATGGATACCTGCTTATATATTTGATTGAAGATGTGCTGAAGTATAGCAGTACTTCAACAACGTTACAGATAAATGCAGTGATAATTTATTCAGCTTGTGGTTAGGGAATCATACTGTTTAAATTGGAGAAGAGATTACTTTTTTTTTTTTTTTAAAGATATATGTATTTTTTTAGTTGTAGGTGGACACAATATCTTTATTTTATTTTTATGTGGTGCTGAGGATCAAACCCAGTGCCTTATGTGTGTTAGGCTTGCACTTTACCACTGAGCCACAGCCCTAGGCCCCCCACCCCCAAGAGATTACTTCTAAGGGAGAGACACTTATACAGAATCAATTAACAGCACAATTTCTATGCAGTGTCAAAGCCCTACAATCTTTTTTTTTTTAAATTTTAAAAAAAATTTTTTAGTTGTAGATGGACATAATACCTTTATTTCTTATTTTTACGTGGTTCTGGGGATCTAACCCAGTGCCTCACGCATGCTAGGCAAGTGCTGTACCACTGAGCCACAATCCTGGCCCAAAGCCCTGTAATCTTTTAAAAACTCTTCTGATAATGGGAGGGGAAATGAAGTACAGAGATTCAAATACAAGACATGTAGCTCAAGTTTGACGTGGAAAAATCCCCGAGTAAAATATCCCAAGTGCATTAATCTGTGGCTTCATCATCCCTGGTGTCTGCGTCTTAGCTTCCCAGGCTGTCCAGGGATTGGTGCACTCTATGTTGTATTGGGTGCCTTGGTAAAATAGTATTTAGAGACTACTATTGTATGTTTGTATTGGGTGAGCTGACTGGTGGGGTTGGAGAGAAATATTTAGTTTTTAGGTTGGACTTGAGATGTGAACTCTTGAGTCATTGTGCATGTTAAGGGACTGGAGAGGCAGTGCTGTGCATGACCAGAGTCCCAGGTTGTTTCTTTATTTTATTTATTTATATGCAGTGTTGAGAATCAAACCCAGTGCCTCACACATGCTAGGCAAGTGCTCTACCACTGAGCCACAACTCCAGTCCCCCAAGTTATTCTTGAGCTGTAGATGTGTCTTGTTTGATTCTCTTTTCCCCAATACACAGATCTGTTTCAAGGTAGGTATTTAGGAACTGCTTCTTGAATGATTGTATAAATGAATGAACTAAATCTTTTTGAAGGGAAAGAGCTACAGTGGAGAATACTTTTGCTAATCTCTGTCAGGAAGTAGTGTTGCTGAAAGTGGGCTGTTCCTATTTCCAGTTTGTTGAGGAATTTCTTCTTAGTTTTTAAATTTTATTTTATTCTTGCTTGCTGTTATTTTTGTACTTTATTTCCGCCCCAATATTGAGGATGGAACCTAGGTGTGCTTTTTTTCCCTGAACTACATCCCCAGCCTGTTTCTAAAATTTTGAGACAGGGTTTTGCTAAGTTGCCAAGGCTTGCCTTGAACTTGTGATCCTATTGCCTCAGCCTCCAGAGTTGCTGGGGTTATAGGCGAGAGCCAACACCCTGTCCCCCTTTTACCTTTATTTTTTATAACCTGAGGTTCCTCTCCCCCTCAATCAAGAGTTAATTTAAATGTTGTCTTTTCTCATTTTGGATTTTGTGATTGAATGTACTCTCTCTGACAATTCTTTTAGGATGAAATTCTGAAAGCAGCAGTAATGAAATATGGGAAAAACCAGTGGTCTAGGATTGCCTCATTGCTGCATAGAAAATCAGCAAAGCAGTGCAAAGCCAGATGGTATGTACCAGTTAGAGAATGGAAAACAAAAAGTGACCTTAATTATGATGAGACGAATATACAGTTCTTTGAATCATCTCGAAGATGGCATCAGGATATAGAATGGGAAATGGGATTTTGAGCTTAACTGCTACTTGCTTCCTAGGCAAGACTTTTTTCTATTTCCTTTACCCTGCCCCTGTTTTCTTCCAGTTAGGGATAAAAATACTTGAAAGTAACTGATGGAGATCAAAGCTCCATTTTTAAATGTGTTAATGTGTTTGAGAGCACTTTGTGAAGCATAAAATCTTAAGGACAGATGGTCCCCAGCTTATAATGGATTGTGTCCTAAAAGTTTATAAATTGGTTGCTTTAAGAATTATTTTCACAAAGAAATAAAAAAAATGACATAATGGTTAATTTTCTGAGCAAACTTACAATAATTGAGTTTTCTCATAACAGAATTGAAATATTATATATTTCTACACTAAAATACAATGTAGGCCAATACTATATCTATGGTGTTACCTTTTAAATTGCAGGGAGGTGGCTGCATTAAATTGTTTATATTTGTTCTTGGTATGAGTGATATGATCCCAGACTCTACACATCCGATCCCAGGAAGAAACTTTGGTTGTACGAAGTGATTTAATTTCCTAGGCATTTGGATATAAGAAAGGATCAGAAGGTAGAAATTTGACTGCAGAGGTAGATGGTTCTTAGGAGGAAGGAGTGGTTTGGGTTTCTGTTTCTCTTAGTGGCACTAAGTTCTTGCTCTAGAGGTTGTGAGGACTTATGTCTTACTTGCCAACCTCTCATCTAGCGAAGTACTAGATGCAAAAGGTGGGTTGAGTGGATATTAGAAAAGACAGAGGATGTCATAATATTTTATTTAGACTTAAAAGCATACCAGGCAAATGAAACCGCAGTTAGTGGGTATAATGAAATGCTTAAAGAAATAAGCCAACATTTTGTGAGAAAGCATGGGGAAGTATTATGAAAACTAGAAACACTAAAAAAATGAGGTAGTGTTGTCTTTTTCCAAATAATTTCAAAATCTCTAGTAAAAAAAAATAAATAAAAACAAGTGAATTGAAAAAGAAGGCATATGATCATGTTTCAGTCAAATTACCTTTTTAAAAATTTATTTATTTATTTATTGGTTTTCGGTGGACACAACATCTTTATTTTTATGTGGTGCTGAGGATCGAACCCAGCGCACCGCACATGCCAGGCTAGCGCGCTACTGCTTGAGCCACATCCCCAGCCCCAAATTACCTTTTTAAAGTATTACGAATCTTACATAATTATAATACAGTAGAATGTAGTAAGATGGAGAATATTAAATGGCATAAGTTTACTACACAGTGAATAGTCTCTTGTCAAAAAATGCAGCTTTAGTAATTGAAGGTTGAAAGCATGTTTTTCAAATAGTAGAAGTCAGTGTATCTAGTGTGGAAATTAGATATTTATAGTAGGTGATTAATGTATAAAATACTATCTTTTTAATAGGTATGAATGGCTGGATCCAAGCATTAAGAAAACAGAATGGTCCAGAGAAGAAGAGGAAAAACTCTTGCACTTGGCTAAGTTGATGCCAACTCAGTGGAGGACTATTGCTCCAATAATTGGAAGAACAGCAGCCCAGTGCTTGGAACACTATGAATTTCTCCTGTAAGCGAAAATTCAAAATCAGTTAAAATATGTGTATATGTTAATGAGACTGAACAAACTTTTAGCATTTCCTGTCTTTTAAGTTTTAATTATAGATGTGACTGAAATCAGGAGAGATAAAGCTGTTGGGCTCTATATTTCAGATGTCATGTGGTTGATTAAAACTATGTCTTTTAGTGTGCACTTTTTATTTAAAAGAATAAAAGTATACAGGTCATACATGTTCATAATAGAAAATTTTGGGAAAAAATAATAGCAAAAGAACAAATGAAAGTCACCCATAATCATACTGCTGAGAATGAACTATTAGAGCATTTGTGTTTTTGTTGGTGTTTGTGTTTGTATGGCTGCACTGTGTGCAATTAAGGGGCTGCTTAGATCCTGTTTTATAGTGAATTAAAGCACTCTCTGAAATTAGAGAATTTTAATACTATTTATTTCAGATGAAGCAGTGACAGAATTGCTTTATTAATGCTCATTTATTGAGCATTTTGAGATTGCTGGAATGTACCCAACTACTACATACAATCTGTAAAGCTGTTTATTTTTTGTTTATTTTTTGGTGGTGGGGAAGGAGAACCAAGTGGTATGATAACTCTGAGTAACTCATCCGAGCTTTTTTTTAGGGACAAAACTGCCCAAAGAGACAATGAAGAGGAAACAACAGATGATCCACGAAAACTTAAACCTGGAGAAATAGATCCAAATCCAGAAACAAAACCAGCACGGCCTGATCCAATTGATATGGATGAGGGTGAGTGTATGCCTGTGAGACATTAGTTTCTTTCATTAACTATAGACTCCTCAGGCCTCTTAAACTTTTAAAATTCCTTTCTGAACTCTTGTGACTTTTCAGAATTCTATTATTAGTTGTTATTGTAAGTATATTTTCAAATATCTCTAGTCTGTTCTATTATAGAATAGTTGTTCTTTTGGATAGTTCCTTTTGTGTTCCATTTTTTCAGTTCATTTAATATCTTAAGCAGTGTAACCAAACTGTGCAGATTCCCAAAAGTATGAGGTTCTATTTCTCATTCTTTTATCCAATAGGTCAGGATATTGGACCTCAGTTCTTCTTTGTCTTTAGACAGATCATTTAATCTCTGTGAGAAGGCAATACCATAAGACTGTGATGGAGATTTTTTGTTGATTTTGTGAGACGTTGAACCAAGAATCAGAGGAATTGGACTTAGATCCACGTCTGCTGCTTATTAACTATTTAACCTAATGTCCTGTAAAGTTGGAATTGCTCAAGGAGGGTAAATAGGTGACTGAGGTCACATAGCTAGCAAGTGTTGAACCTGGTTTTAAACCTAGTTTCTCCTTTATGCTACACCGTATTTATGTTTTTTTTTTTTTCTTATTTTAAGCACTAGGGTATATCTTACATACCTTGCTTGGAAAGAATCTTAGTTGTTCTCTTTGTTTTTGCAGATGAACTTGAGATGCTTTCTGAAGCTAGAGCCCGCCTGGCTAATACTCAGGGAAAGAAGGCCAAGAGGAAAGCAAGAGAGAAACAATTGGAAGAAGCAAGGTGTGGTTTTCTCAGTTCATTTTCAATAAATGGTCTGTTCGTTCTTAAGCCCATTAAAATTGGATTATTTATCAGTGCTGTTTAGTGAATAATAATCTTACTTGTCCTTTTTCTATATTGCTTCTTTATTACTCTTAAAAAACTTGCTATTTCCCCCAACAACCATTTTAGAGTAATTACAGAAAAACTATATGTGTTTAAAAAATTTTGAAGACATGACGGAAGCAATGCACAGTTAACCTAGTATTTGATCTGTTAGTATACCAAAGCTTCATCTGTTACAGCATCTTGGAGTCAAGTGACTGGAGGACACAGATGACTAACTTTTTCATGACTGCCAGTTGTTTTTTCTTCTTAGTAGGGCACTGACTATGAAATAAGAATCTTGGCTGAGCATGGAGTACATGAGCCTTGAACCAAATTTTAGGCTTTTGTAGAAATCTTTGTTAAATAATTAGTGATTATTAGCTAAATTATGGAATCAACCCAGATGCCCACAATAGATGAAATGATTAAGAAATTGTGGCATATTTACAAGGGAGTTATATGCAGCCATAAAACAGAATGAAATTATGGCATTTGTTGGTAAATGGATGGAAATGGAGAATATCATGCTAAGTGAAATTAGCCAAACTCAGAAAATCAAAGGTCGAATGTTTTCTCATATGTAGAAGCTAGAGTAAAATAAAGAAAAGGGGGAGGGAAGGATAGGATAATGTAAAGGACCAGTCAAATATAAGTTAAAGAAAGAGTAGAGAAAGGAGAATGGGAGTGGCAAGAGAAAAGGAAGAGAGAAAAGCAGGGGTCAGGGGATAATGAACTGAAATCAATTTCCATGCACGTTCGAGATTGCTGGAATGTACCCAACTACTACATACATCTGTAAAGCTGCAATTTTAAAAAATGAGTGAATATATCTTAGGCATTGTCTTTTACTCAGGATTTTGTCCCACTTTCTTCTGTTTGCTTTTTGTTGGTAAATCTGTAATTAATATTTTTCATGGCCCAGAAACCAAGATGAAGTTGATAGACCATCTGGACTGTATAACAGCTTATTAACTTTTGGGATTCGGGCATTGGAGTAACTCCCTAGCCTTCACAGTGCCTTTTGTGGTCCTCAAGCTAGCCAGGAAGTACTTCCTGACATGATGAATATCATTGTGTTGATGGTTTCATCAGTAATGGCTTTGAAGTGCCATATGCTGAGATAGAGTATTATTTCATTCCTGAGGATGCTATGCTATTGGCATAGCTGGCCAGTCACTAGTTTAGTATAATTAACTTTTGATGGGAATATGACTGGCTTGGGATAGTGAACACAAACCCAGAGAGTAGTTAAATTTTCTATTAGGTCTCAGTCACTGGGATAGAACCCAGTGTAAGTGCTCTACCACTTTCTATGCTTTATACTTTTTAGGGTTAAGAATGTAAAGTTGAAAAAAATTACTTTTCCATTTTTGTTTGGAAGAATTGTTTGGAAGATTTTTGGGAGACCCAATTTTTAGAGCCTATTAGCCATGTGGGTGGGCAAGGATTATAGCAGATGCACATGTGAAAAATCAAAGTTTGGCTAACATCGATTGCTTTCAATATATTTTTGCAGATTTTAACTCTACAATTTCTTGTAGATTTTCTTGTAGAATCAACATATTTTTCTAAGTTGTGTTGTACATACAGGTTGGATTGGCTTGTATGCAAAGTGCTGCAGGACTATTTAAATGTTAAATTACAAGTCTATCTTATAACTTAAAAGCGTTTTTATTGATTGTGAAAGTAATATGCTTTTAATTCCAGTAGCTGTTAATATTTATATTTTGAGGACATGACTGGTATAATATGCATTTGCTATTAGGATTTGTGATATTCAATTAACAATATGTGGTAAAGGTTTTCTAATGTGATTTGAAGTCTTTGTTTCCATTATTTAAAGAACAAGATTAATATTTGGAATATATTCTTCCAAAACTTTCTCTCAATATAGATGTATTTTTATGTGTACATTAACCCATCTACATTTATACATATGAGAGGTCAGCTGTTAATCTTATTTGGTTCTCTTGTAACTGTTTTTTTTTTTTTTTAAATAAAGTGCAAACTTTTATTATTTTTTTATTTTTATTTTTTTGTGGTGCTGGGATTGAACCCAGAACCTTGTGCATGTGAGGCAAGCACTCTACCAACTGAACCATGTTCCCAGTCCTGTAACTGTTTCTTGTAATATGTTTATCATATTTTTTTCTTGGAAATTGGACATTTATTTTAGTTGATATATTGTAGCAATTCTGGGTACTGCCCCTTCCTACCTCTATTTATTGTTAGTTGCTTGCTTATTTGTTTGGTGAACCAACTTCATTATTTTAGTGGTCTGTTTTCTGCTTCCTTCCCTCCTGGCAAGAAATGTGGTCTCTGATGCTGCTTCTTAGGGAGGGGCAATCTTGGATATGCCCATGTTTTCAGGGATGGCATGTTTTGGGCAGGGATCTCTTTGACATCTCTTTCCCTGACTATACCTAGCTGTGTGCGTATTGTTTTTAGCAGTGTCCTAGGTATAAATTGTTCCACAGCCTGATCCAGGCCAGTTTGGGCTCCTTTGAAGGGATAGTACCTGGAATCAGTGTTGAAGATTTGTGCTGACTCCAGGAGGGTTCCTTACAGCTTTCTCTTTCAGTTTCTCTCTGGCCAACTAGTGGGCCTATAGTTGTGCCTATATCTCCAGTGAATTTGTTAGTTTCTTTTTTAAAAAAAAACATTTTTTTTGGTTGTAGATGGACACAATACTTTTATTTTGTTTATATAGTTTTTTTCTTTTTTTAATGTGGTGCTGGATAGAACCCAGTGCAAGTGCTCAACTACTGAGCCATGACCCCAGCCCAAATTTGTTAGTTTACTAATTGCCTTTTACCACAATTGCCGCTGTTTTTGAGAGTGTCCTTAGACTGGAACTTCTCTATACTCTACAGATGAAGTCATTTCCTTTGGAAGGAGATTTGAAACTCTTCTGTTCTGTGACCTGCTTCTTTGCCAGGGCTCTGACAATGCAAGTGTCTGAGTGACACTCCTGCTTTATGAACTGAGTGCTTGGTGGGCAGTGGGAGCATGATGTGATGTGTAGTAGCCCAGTTCTCCTTATGTTGTCTTTCTCAGCATGGAACACTCATCCCAGAAGCTGGGGCAAGTAGTAGTCTCAGCAATACTCTGCCCAAGGTGGCACTGTTTGGGTGAAACAGGGGAGCTCTACTTCTCAGTCATTCTTGATGGTATTCAGCTTCTGCAATTGGGTATCTGGTGGCAGGGTAAGAAATTCTGATGTCCTGCTTTTCCTGAAGTGAAAGCCCTAACACTGGGAGCTGGTAGGAAGAGGGAACCTTACATTCTTGGCTGTGTGGAATGATGTTTCTTTCTCCTTGAGCTGGAGGGGTAGGAGACAGTGGGTCTGTTTTCAGCTGCTATACTTTTATTTGCTTTTTTTTTTTTAATATTTTTTTAGTTGTTGATGGACTTTATTTTATATATTTATATGTGGTGCTGAGAATCAAACCCAGTCCCTCACTCATGCTAGGCAAGTGCTCTACCACTGAGCCACAACCCCGGCCCCTTTTGTTTGCTTTCTTGCTGAGTTTAAGTAAATTTTCTTGAATTAATATTTATATTTTTGGCCATATTTCATTAAGATCCTTTCCAGAACTTTAATTGGTTATATTTTGTCATTGTTTTTCTTTTGTGGTGCTGGGGATTGAACCCAGGGCCTCACACATGCTGGGCAAGTGCCTTATCAGCCAGCCACATCTATAGCCCCAAGATTAGTTTGTTTTTGGTGGTACTAGGGATTGAACCTAGGACATTGAGCATGCTAGCCAAGTGCTATCCATTGAATTACATCCCCAGCTCTGGTTGTTTTTTTCATCAGTGCCTTTGGGGATAGGGATTTATGGAGTTCCTCATGCACTCACACTGGGAGTCACCTTTATATATACTGTTTTGTGACTTGTTTTCCTTCCTTTTAATATTTGGAGCAACTTTTCTTGTCATTAAATCATTAAAGTTATAGCATCATGGGAAAGTTCAAAGAAAAAAAGTTTTCTTTTTTAGATGGAATTCCACCTTCACTGACAATCATGGTTAAATTTTGGTGGACATCCTTCACATCATCCCCATATTCACTGATAGGTAATTTTTGCATGTTGCTCTTTAGTGTGTAAACAATTTTTACGCACTTAGGCCTCTTGACATGTCTGTTAGAGGAGATGTATGTCCTTTCTAAAGGTTACATAGATGGCTGTATTATAGGCATGTTACAGATTCATTTAATTAATTTCTTATTGATGGATGTTTAGATTGTGTCCAGTTATCTACTGTTACGAACAGTCTTCTCATTAAGTTCTTGCTCATGTTCTGATTTATTTCCTTAGGCTAGAGGCTGAGAAGTAAAATTGCTGGGTTAAAAAAATATGAAAAACCTTAGGCTTTTAATACATATTTCTAAATTTGTTTTGGAGAAAGCTGTCCCAGTTTATTTTCTCATTACCTTTTTGGGAGGCTTTCTACTTTTTATACATTTCTCACTAAAATAAGTGGGATGGTATCAATTAGATATACAAATGGTGCCTATTAATTTGTGATTCTTTATCAAATAAAACTTTGTTATTTTCATTTGTTCTCCCCCATCCTTTGGAGCAGGTTTTTAAAAAACTTTGCATTGACGTAATACTAATTGCAAATATTTTTCCTATAATTTGCTGTTGTAAAAATTAGATCTTAAATTTGTTGATCTTTTTCTTTGACTTTAATTTATATTGAGCAAGTACATTCTTATCCAGAGATAGGATACATAATTACATATCGTTTCTTCTGATTTTTCATGTTGCTTTATGTGCATACATGTGTGTGTACACCTTTAAATCAAAACTGGGATTTGTTTTGGTGAACAGTATGAGATGAAGGTTTACAATAAATATTTCTATCTCAAATAACCAGGTCGTTTTCTTAACTCTGTTGGATAATCCATCTTTGCTCCATGATACATGATTTTCAAGGTGATTTTGTATTCTTTTTCTTCAGGCGTCTTGCTGCCCTTCAAAAAAGAAGAGAACTTCGAGCAGCTGGCATAGAAATTCAGAAGAAAAGAAAAAAGAAGAGAGGAGTTGATTATAATGCTGAAATCCCATTTGAAAAAAAGCCTGCTCTTGGTTTTTATGATACTTCTGAGGAAAACTACCAGTCCCTTGATGCAGATTTTAGGAAATTAAGACAACAGGATCTTGATGGGGAGCTAAGATCGTAAGTTGCCTTTCTGATCTGGAAATAGAAAGGTATAATGGGAATTTTGTATTGTTATTGTCAGAGCCAAATTTTTATGATTTAGCACAATGTGGCCTGCTTATGCTGTTTTTATGTAATGTGTTCACCTTTCTGAGAAAACAAGTGTGAACCCTGTCTCTCATTTTGTTAGCACAGAATGCTGTGTGGTTGAATTATAGTGTTTGGTTCTTTGTGGATATGAACCCAGGGGTGAATATCACTGAGCTACACCCCCAGCCTGTTTTTCTTTTTTATTTTGAGACAGTGTCTCAGTAATTGATGAGGGTCTCACAAGTTGCTGAGGCTGGCTTTGAATTTGAGATTCTCTTGCTTCAGCCTCCTGTCTGTGGGATTATAGGTGTGCAGCACCACAACCAGGTCTTAGTTGACTATTTACTCACTAAATCACATCTTAACATTTAGGTACATTTGTGGACAAATCAGATGTTTTACTAATATCCTGAAAAAAATCTGTTAATATTTGGACTGGTATTTTTTTTTAAGTAAAAACTTTACCATGTTTTTATTAAAATGAAATTAAAGGAAAAAACTTACCAATGTTTTCCATTCTTAAGTTTCCCACTTGATGGGGATAAGTATGTATATTTATAAATGTTTATGTCTTAGAGTATAGAGGATTCATCTGTTTTTTGTTTTTTTTTTTTAAACTAAACTCTTTTTTTGGACACAATATCTTTATTTATTTATTTTTATGTGGTGCTGAGGTTTGAACCCTGTGCCTCATGTGTGTGAGGCAAGCACTCTACCACTGAGCTATAACCCCAGCCCCGTTTCACCTACTTTTAAGAGTTTTTTTTTTTTAACAGAGTTTTCTTAAATCTTAAATCTGCTTATTATAGGGAGAATATTTTATACTTGTCAAAGAAGTTTTTGTTTGCTTCTCTCTGTTTACTTTCCTTTTCTATTTACATGAATGGTTCCTAAGCAGATATCAGCCACTGTAAAATAGGATTTACTTGATTGTATATATTTCTCAAAACAGGACCTTGCTTTATGGGCCCTATGAATAAAGAGATTAAAGAGGAAAACTAATCGTTTGGAAGGAGTAGACTAGCTGGGGGGAAAAGAAAACAGGCAGAAGGAAAGATGGTATAGGAGCTTTGAAAGACTGCTTTGATCCTGGCTTTAGGCTTCTAACAACTTTTGGGTGTGTTTTTCAGTAATACCCTTTTAAAAAGTTGTATACTTTAAAAATCAACAATTAACAATATTAAGGAGAAATGTAAAAATTCAGTGGTTTTATTTCATCTCCTTTACTGTTCCTTTTTTGTGCATTCATCTTATGTGCACACATGTTTTTATGTGAATATAATCACAATATAGGAATTGTGTGTTTTTTTGCCATTATATGTGATGTTTTGCATATTTGTTATCACAGGTTATGTTATTTTCAGGTTATGTTTTAATTTTTAGTACTTAATGTATCCCCTTAATAATTTTATTACTATTCTGAGTTTTCATTTTTGAATATACTAACAGCTTGTGTATATTATTTTTGCTTTTTAAAGTTATTTTCTTTAGAAATAAGATTGTTTTTCAAAGGATATGAATATTTAAATGGATTTTGCTGTTATTGCCAAGGTATAACTTAAAATCTCTTCTTCTCTATCTTGATCCATTATAGTGAAAAAGAAGGAAGAGATAGAAAAAAAGACAAACAGCATTTGAAAAGGAAAAAAGAATCTGATTTGCCATCAGCTATTCTTCAAACTAGTGGTGTTTCTGAATTTACTAAAAAGAGAAGCAAACTAGTTCTTCCTGCTCCTCAGGTAATCTGATAAAAAGTTTTTTTATTTTATGAATTTATGAGCTCATTTCATTTATTCAGCAAATATTTGAGGGCCTTTGTTTCAGGCTTGTTATGAGTGCCCTTAAGAAATTAGTGTAATGGGTGAGCCACATGTGTAACAATAAATTATTTTGGTATAATATGATAAATAAGCAACAGCTTCTCTGTGTAAGTTATTATATGAAGTCTTAAACTGCTCATGATGGTTTAATAAGTAGTTAACACTCAGCAATTTGTCACCAGCTACGGCTCTTGGCCACTTATTTGTAGTTGATCAGGATAGGTATGGTCTGGCTTGGTGAAATTGAAGCTGCTTTCTTTCAGGGAGTGTTTTGTTATATCATGTTTTTCTTTTTGAAAGAAAAGAAATGGGCTGGGGTTCTGGTTCAGTGGTGGAGTGCTTGACTAGCACTTGTGAGGCACTGGGTTTGATCCTCAAAACCACATAAAAAAATAAAGTTTATATTGTATACATCTATATCTTAGAAACACACACACACACTAAAAATATTTATGTGTATGTACGTGTGTGCGCACGCGCGTGTATATATGAGAAACAGCTCTGAAAAATCAGTGTGGGAATTGTGGAAAAGAGAAATACAAATATTTCCTCATTCAGTTTATTATAGTCCTTTGACTTAGTAATAGTTGGTCAGAAACATGGGAACTTTGAGTAACCTCTTGTTTTGAGTAGTATAGCTCTTCAGAATCAGACAGGTTTAATGGAGTAGAGGTAAGGACTTAGGAGACCAGCAGAGTTTGTTTCCCCAGAAGTCTTTTGGCTCCTCAACAAAAGACTTGTGGGCATGAACATAATTGAATTTTGTCATATGTTGCTCTTTCTAGTAGTATTTTTAAGTTTAATTTTGTCTGAAATTTTCCCCTTAACACCCCTTAGAATATTTATTTTGGCAAAATTACTTTTAGATTTTCTTAAGGATCTTGTGATTCAGTAGACTCTGTGATATTTTTATATTTTTTTTTCTTCCCATATGGATAGTTTTGTACAAAAACTATTATTTTATGTTCTTGGTACATAGGCATATTAATTTGAAAGAATTTCAGTATGGAAATATAGCAGTTGTAGCTTGATTCTGTATCATAGATGAATTTTATCCCCATGGCATGTAGAAAAGGCTTTTAAAATTTTTAAAATAGAAATTTTTTTTTGTGGGGGGTATTGGGGATTAAACTCAGGAACACTCAACCACTGAGCCACATCTCCAGCCCTGTTTTGTATTTTATTTAGATACAGGGTCTCTGAGGTGCTTAAGTGCCTCACTGTTACTGAGGCTGGCTTTGAACCCGCGATCCTCCTATCTCAGCCCCACTGAGCTGCTGGGATTACAAGTGTGCACACCACACCTGGCTTAAAAATAGAAATTTTAAAGTCAAAAAAGTTAGGGGTAGTGCAGTGACCCTGTGTGTTCTATACAGCTTCAGCAATTCATCTTTCTAGAATATGGAAATTTTAATCTGTGTTGGTCCTCAGTTAAAATGCTTACTGTGATAATTGTGTCTTTTTAGATTTCAGATGCAGAACTTCAGGAAGTTGTAAAAGTAGGCCAAGCAAGTGAAATTGCACGTCAGACTGCTGAGGAATCTGGCATAACAAACTCTGCTTCCAGTACTCTTTTGTCTGAGTACAATGTCACCAACAATAGCATTGCTCTTAGAACACCCCGAACGCCAGCTTCCCAGGACAGAATTCTGCAGGTATGCTGTCACATAGTAGAGGAGCCTTTTGCGTTCATTATTATATTTAAGGTATCATGAAGGAGAACACTAAGTGGTTTGGTTTTGTTTCTTTCAGGGTCTCAGCAGTTTGAAACTGAGTCCTGAATGAATAGATCCTGAAACATTTGTCTAGTAGAGAAGCTAAATCAGCAGATTCAGTTATTAGGTGATTTTATTTCTACATTATTATAACAATTTTGAATCAAGTCCTTCTACCTTCGCTAGTCTTTTATACCTGTCAGTAAAGCACAGGATTTAAATTTTTCACATTGCCTAGTAATCCTGCCAAGAAATGAGATGTATGTGCAGTGATTTTAGAAACTGCCTTGCATTTTCTCATTGGCTTGACATCATATGTCAGTGGTAATAATTTCATCACTCTCCCTCACACATGGTATATCCACAGCTCTTGTGTTCCACGGGTGTCTGTATGCCAGAGACAGATTTTTCTCAAACCTGGAAAACACTATTGAGAATTTTGGTATCCTTACATCTCATTTTCTTTTCTCTCATAGTCAGAAACATAATTTCAAGGTCTTGATCCAAGAATCAATGGTTGTGTAAGGCTTAGTAAGAAAAATAATTGTGCCCCTCATTGCTTGCTCTGCAGAGGTACCAATTACAATTCTTTGTTTTTATTTTCGTATTGCTAAGATACTTGTGACTTCATTGTTTTAAGAATTATTTGTTGTTTCTCCATATAGAATTTGGACATTTGTCCCTATGTCTCAGTCATGCATATAGACTTTTTCAGTTCTCTCATTGTCAATTATAGTACCATCGTCCATTATAGTTAAAATATAGTTTTGGTTCATGGTTGGATTTATGACTCTGTAAACCTTGTTTATTCCTGAATCATGAGGTGCCTTATAATGTATATGTTATGTAAATACATATTTGTATGTAATATATAGCATAATACTGTGCTTTGTTGTACAGTATTTTGTATTTTCTTGGAGTTAACATTTGTTTTACTCAGGTAATGAATTTTTTGAATACTTAGCATTAATTGAATTATAGACTGTATACGCTGTCAGTCTCCTGTGTTCTGGTCAGACTTCATATAATCTCATCTTTCTAAAGGTTACCAGCAGACAAGCCAGGGTACCTAACAGGATAACTGGCTGGCTACCCATCTGCATAAGAAATAAATGAACGATGTAAAAGGGAAAAATGAATTTTATACAATTTTGTCAAACTGGAGAGAAGCAGTTAAGATTGTATCTTCTCTCTCTCTCTTTTTAAAAAATATTTATTCTTTTAGGTGTAGATGGACACAACACAGTGCCTTTATTTTTATGTGGTGCTGAGGATCGAACCCGGGTCCTACCCGTGCTAGGCAAGCGCTCTACCGCTGAGCCACAATCCCAGCCCCTGTTATCTTCTCTTGTTAGTCACATAGAAGCTTACAGAAGCAGTTAAAATTTATAGAAACAAAAGCCAGGAGGTGTAATTTCGCAGATATAGCTAGGCAGTGTTGGCTAGAAAACACAGGGGCTAGTTTTTTGTTTCCATTCACAGCATGAGGAAGCTCAGGAGCTAAACCTTTTTCAGAGCTTTTAATTTCAAAAGGTCTGTATTTTATAATAAAGTCTTTCCCAGAACTTTGAGATGCTCTTATTAGGACCGATAACTCACTGGATCTTATTTACAGCATGATTTTTATTGTTATTTAAAATTTTTTTTTTCAATTTCCCTTCACTGTCCCTGTAGAAAATCCCTTGGGTTCTCTTTCTTCTGGTTCCCATGACTTTGGCTTTCTTGGTTTATTCTCTTGCTAATGAAGCATAATATCCTTCAATAGCTTTCTGAGAAAGGATTCATGGAAGGTAGATTTTTTTTTTAATTTAATTTAGTTTTTGTATACAAATAAAAATTGTATATATTTTTGGTGCTTAGCATGATGTTTTTGATATGTGTATATATTTAGAATGGCTAAATTAAGTTATTTAACATTTCCTCATGTACTATTTTTTTTTGTGTGTGTGGTGAGAACACTTAAAAATCTATTTTGTTAGCAGTTTTCAGGTTATTCACTAGAGTCATCATGATGTACAGTAGATCAGTATATTTCTTGTGTTTAACTGAAATTTCGTTTCTGGTTCTCCCACCCCTTAGCCTCTGGTAACCATTGTTTTTCTTTCTAAAAGTTTAACCTTTTCAAATAATATCATGGGGTATTTGTCTTTCTGTGCCTAGCTCATTTCAATTAACATGATGTTCTCAGTTTCGTCAGTGTTCCAAACGCTAGGATTTCTTTTTTAAGGCTGAATAATATTCTTTGTGTATATGCCACATTTTAAAGATTATTTTCTCTGTTGATAGATATTAAGGTTGATTTCTGTATCTTCTGGCTTCCACTGTGGCTGTGTTATTCAGATTATTAGTAGGAAAGCTAGTTCCTCTTTCTCTGGAAGTGTTTGTGATCTCCTTTTTCACATCCTTGGTTCTTTGTGTGGATCTTTCTCAGTCACTCTGCTAAGTATTTGGTGGATTTTTTAATTCTAGAGACTTGTGGCCTTTAATTATTTTTTTTTCTTTTTTTTTTGTACCAGGGATTGAACTCAGGGGCACCCAACCGCTGAGCCACATCCCCAACCCTATTTTGCATTTTTCATTTAGACACAGACTGAGTTGCTTAGTGCCTCGCTGTTGCTGATGCTGGCTTTGAACTTGTAATCCTCCTGTCTCAGCCTCCTGAGCTGCTGGGATTACAGGTGTGCACCACCGCACCCGGCTTGTGGCCTTTAATTCTTGAAAATTAGTTTGAATTAAAAAAAAAAATAAATCTTCCTTTTCATCAGTTACTTTATAGACCTCCAACTTTTGTCTTCTTTCCTCTCTAGATGATTTTCTGTGATATCTAGGAGCTTTTTAAAAACGTTTAGTGTTTTTTTAACATCCATTCTTATTTCATGAACATCTTCTCTTCTCTGGGACTGTTGGTAATCATGATTTTACAAGGTTTTTTCCCTTTTTATAGTCTCTTAAGTGTTTTGTTTCCTCTACCATTCATAAGCATGTATTCTCAAATGTTTGGTGATCTTTGATTCTATATGTAGAGGTGAGGGGCAATTGTAAGCTGACTATAAACTCTTTGTATGTGGGTGAGGCTCCTTGACTCCCAGCTTCTCTGGAGGCTGATCTGACTGGGATGTTTTGTTGGAATTTCTTGATGTCAATATTGCTTCATCAAAATTTATGAGACTCTTCAGAAAAGCAGCTTTTAATATCCTGCCTAAAGGGTGTACAACTGACTACCCTCACCTGAGGAAAAAAGGCTGAATGCCTCCAATTTAAAGTTTAAACTTATATGTCCTTTCTTTTTCTTCATAATAATAATTTGCTTTTAACACCTTCTGGGATCCCCTAGTTTAGAAAGCCTTTATTGTTCTCTCTGAAGAGTTTTTCTTTTGTATTGTTCATGCAAGTTCACAAATTAATGCACACTAGTTATTTTATCATGCAACTCAAGACTTTGAGGAGGCTTGGACATGGGGTTTCACAAGTAAATTACTAAAATATCTAGTATATCAGAGATTTTATAAAGCAATTTTGTGATTCTTTTGGACCCTGAGCATAAATAAAGATGTGTTCTGGGGTATTATAACCAGGTAGAATGTCAGGTAAACTTGTTTAGTCAGATTGGGAAAGAGAAAATTCTGCTAACTATTCACAGGAGAAACATGGAGGGCCCTAAATAGTGCAAAATACATACAGGAATCAAATTAAACGGAATAAGCCTGTTAATAATAGGGGATGATAATGACTGTAGGTGTTGTAAAAATCCTGGTAGCCACCCTCTTCTGGTGGCTTGGAGTGCTATAGATGCTTCTTATAGATGCTCTGTGTTGATCTGGCTCAGCATTTCTTGCATACTTCTCCAGACTTTTAATTAAAATGCAAAGCCCAGCAGGATATATATTCTTGTTTTGGTTACTTTATTCATGCTTCAGCTTTTCCATGCCTTCTCTGACAGAGAGGAATATCATGTCTTCCTTTTTTTTAAATAGTGCTATTTGAAAAAGTTTGCACTGTAATTATTTGGCACTGAAAATTTTAAAGAAAAACAGTAAAGCTGTTTTTATTTTTGGAAAAATTGCATTATTAGGTAATATAATGACTATTTAATGGAAGTTATTTTTAAAAACTTTTATTGAGATATAATATAGCATATAATTAATTTGTTATAGTATTTGCAGAGTTGAGCACCCATCATCATAATTATACAATATTTTCATCAATTATAAAGGAACCCCCATACCCATTAACAGTCACTTATTATTCCCCTCAAACCTGCTAGGCCCTGTAGTTGTCTCTCTGGTGTTCTCTGTTCTTCACATTTCATATGAATGGAATCATAAAATCATTTCTGACTTGCTTCTTTCATTTAATGTACTGTTTTCAAGATTTAACCATACTGTAGGATGTATCAGTATTCCATTCGTTTTTATTGCTAAATAATGTTCCACTGTATGAATATACCACATTTTCTTTATCCATTAATGAATTGATTGTCACTAGGGTATTGACTACCTTTTTACTATGTGAATAATGGTGCTTTGAACAAGTGTTTGTATGGACATGGTTTTCATTTTCTTGGATGAATACTCAGGAATGGAATTTCTGGGTCTTATGGTAATTCTGCATCTAAGTTTTTGGGGAACTGTCAGACCGTTTTCCAGAGCAGCTGTACCCTTTTACCCTTCTATCGAAATATGTGACAGCTGCAGTTTTTTTTTTTTTTTTTTTTACATTCTCACCAACACTGTTATCCTCTTTTTGATTATAACCATCCTATGGTCATACATCTGGGGGTGGTATCATATTGTGTTTTTGATTTGCATTTCCCTGGTAGCTACAGATATAGAGCATCTTTGCACATGCTTATTTGCTATGTTTCTAAATCTTTTTTGAAGAAATGGTTATTCATATCCCTTGCCCATTTTTCAGTTGGGCTGTTTATCTTTTTATTGAATTATAAGAATTCTTTGTATATTCTAGGTGTTAGTCCTTAATCTGATATATAATTTGTACATATTTTCTTCCAGTTTTTGGGTTGTCTTTTTACTTTTTTCATGTTGTCAGTTGCAGCACAGAAGGTTTTAATTTCATGATGTGTAGTTCATTTTTTTTTTTTTTTTGCATTAGCATTTAGCCTTATGTAGCACTGTCCAAAGTCAGGGAGATTTACTCTTCTTTTTCTAAAAGTTTTATAGTTTTAACTTTTACATTTAAGTCTGTGACTCATTTTGAGTTCATTTTACTGGGTGATGTGAGATAAGGGTCCGACTTGATTCTTTTGCATGCAGATATCCAGTTTTTCCAGCACCATGTTTGAATACTCTTTCCCCCATTGTATGATTTTGGCACCCTTGAAAAAATCCAGTTAACCATGAATATTTCTGGGTTCTGAATTTTGTTCCATTGGTCCTATACCAGGACCACACTGTCTTTGATTCCTATAGCTTTATGTTATCCTTTTGTGTGTTCAGTATAGGCTTTGAAGACTGACTGAAAGAGTATTGAGGTAATAACGAGAAAATATTTAATATAGAGAGTAGTTATTTTGAAAAAATATCAAGAGGCTAGGACATATGCAGTGTTTCGGGCTTGTAGTTTTGGATTTATCTTCTAAAAGATTTTGGGTAGTTATCTGAAAAGTGTTTTTGTTGGAATTAAATTTGGTTCTAATGGAAAACCATAACAGTGGCCTACATAGAATAGAGGTTTATTTTATGTTTTATATGTTGAGAGATAAACAGACTGGGGCTTGTATGGTACTTTCTGGTGTCAGTGACTTAGGGGTGGTCTGTTTTGTTCTGTCCCATGCCTGACTTTCCTTCACAGCGTCTCTCCCTTTGGTAAGTACAGTGGCTACAGTGCCAGCCATGTTTTCTGCCTCTAGCTGGCAGGAAGGAGGAAGGGAGAACAAGGACTGCTGTCTTGCTCTTTAAGAACCCGTCTCTTGCATTTGTCGTTTCTCCTTCTGTCACACTGACCAGAACTTAGATATATAACCATACTGAGCTACTGGGTTATATAGTTTTGTTTTGGGGAACCTGGTTAAAATGGAGGCTTTTGATACATGGAAGGAGAGAATACTTTTGGTGACAGGTAGCAGTCTCTGCCACAATAAAGTATTCAGTGATCCCAGCTGGTTGAAGCTCTTTGGAACCTCTAAGACAAACTGACAGAAGTTGAGAATTTAGTCTGGTTAGCTGTGATAAAATATCCGTTATTTTAATGAAAAATGTGGTAAATTGATTTTTACTTTAAGCTTTTATTTGTTAGATGCCACTGTTCTATGCATGATATAGGTGCCAAGGTTGCCAAGGTGGGTAGCCAGGGATAAGAGGAATTTTGTCTCATGGCTTCCTTTGATCTAGTCCTAGGGTGCATTGGTTAGGGTTCATTAAGGGGAACAGAACCAGCATGAATATCATAGAATTAGGAATTTGTTAAAAGAATTGGATTTATGCACAAAAAGGAAAAGCTAGGGAAGTAAAGATCTGAAAAGGAGAGTTTGTAGGGAAATTGGAAGCTAGGCATGAAGGGGGCTGTGGAGGGTGTTGGTTCTTTGTGGCTACTATTTTCTGTGAGTTTGCAGCTAGAAGTTGAGAGATGGGTGCAGGACTGCTGTTGGGCAGAGAAGTGCAAGGGCATGCTGAAACTTGCAATTTCATATGTGAGACTATAACTGCCTTGACATATAAAACTTTATTCTAGAAATTGTGACTTGTGATGTCTTAGATTGACAGAGGGATGGAAGTATTGAAATCTGTTGTGGCATAATATTTGTTTTCTCTCTTGGTTTTCACTAAGAAACTAAGAATTGTGGCTGCTTAAACATTTTTATAATAGGATCAAAAGAGAGAATTCTGCTAGCTTATCTAGACCATTAACATGCTTCCTTATTTCTTTTAATAGGAAGCCCAGAACCTCATGGCCTTGACCAATGTGGACACCCCATTAAAAGGTGGACTTAATACCCCATTGCATGAGAGTGACTTCTCAGGCGTGACTCCACAGCGGCAAGTTGTACAGACTCCAAACACAGTTCTTTCTACCCCATTCAGGTATTATAAAAATAAACATATTTTATGTTTTAGGAAAACTTGAATCCAAGAATTTGGACAGCATGTTTGTTTTAGTATGTTGACAAAGAATATAAATAAGTATTCAACTTGTTTTTTTTTTTCTTTTTTTCTTTCTCCTTACTCATTTATAGTATCAAAGAAATGATTACATATGGTGGCATTTTTATTTTCAAAGTTTCAGATGCTAGCATCTTGTTTCTGAACACTTTATTTGATTTTAAAGATTAGATGAATCCATTGTTAGTGATCATTTGGTGAATTTTATAAAAATTGTATAAAAATTTTAAAAATTTATAAAAAATGTATAAAAATTAATGTATGTCTTATTGCTTTTTCTTAGCATTTTTCTGTGAAAAATTAAAACGCTCAGAAAATATGCAAGAATGGCAAAGCAAATATTCATATACCCAGTCACTTAGTTTCTGTGATTATTAACATTTTACTTTATATGATATGTGATATTTGCTTTATCACGTATCTATCCAATTATCAATCCACTTTATTTTTTAAGGCATTTCAAAGTAGGTTGCAAATAATCAGTCCATATTCACACCTAAACACACATGCATGTTATTAAACTAGTGGTCAGTATTTCTTTGTAGTTCTTTTATTTTAAGCTACTCTTTTGAAAAGGATTATCTTTTAAGATATAAATGTTATGGAAACTAGTCATATTAAAATGGAATTTGAGTTTTTAAGGGATGATTATTTCAAGTTTAATTTTAAGTGTTAGAATATGTCCTTCTATGGGTTTAGTTTTCCTTAAATTGTTAAGATTTATATATAAAAGCAGAATAGAGACACACTGGCAGCCAATCCCAGTATGATATTTAACACTTCTTGTGAGGCTAAAGAGAGCCTAATCCTTTTTCTCCTGTGTATGTCTTGTCTTTCAACTAGATTGTAAGCTCCTTGGGGGCAGGGACCATGTCTTATATGGTAACACCTCAACTATTGGGAACAGCTGTATGGCAGCACCACCAGTCTGGAACACAGCCAAGATACAGGAAGTAAGCACCCTTGTCTCCCCCAAAAGGCTTTGAACAATTAAAACATAAGTTACTGCAAAGTCTGTGTACTTTTTTCTTTATTTTTTGAGATGGGGTTTTGCTGTGTTGCCCAGGCTGGCTGCAAACTTATGATCCTCCCATTGCAACCTCTTGAGTAGCTGAGATTACAGGCCTTTGCCACTACGATGGCTTTGTCTATGGACTTCATTGCTAGAAGAGGTTCTTAATCTTCACCCAGAGCCTGTTCATACCTAGATGTGTTTTTAAAAGTGTGGTGTGTGGTTTCCAAACAATGAATTACTTAAAGTATGTAGTTGATGATGACAGTAATGACTGATAATGTAATAGCCAACAACTTGATAGGGAGGAGAAGATGATTAGACAAATACACTGAACTCAAGTCATATGCTGTTGGCCAGCCTCCCTGCCCACTGCCTATTCTTAGCCACCCTAATGCATGAAGAAAAAATTGAAATAATGTTTACTGGACCTTTTTAAGGAAGATTCTGTCAAGCATAACGACTATTAGAAGTCAATAAAATAAAAATACAGCATTCTGTGCTGACTAAACCAAACCTTTATTTTAACCTAGAGAACGAACTTAAAACCACCAGGCATAATTTTTGGAATCTTTGTTTTTTCCATATTTTTTATATTCCCTGTAGAATAATATATGTGAAAAACATTTGAAAGCACAATCCAAATATAAGTGGCACTTTTATTAATTGATTTCTCTTTTTCTAGGACTCCTTCTAATGGAGCTGAAGGGCTGACTCCTCGAAGTGGAACAACCCCTAAACCAGTTACTAATTCTACCCCAGGTAGAACTCCTCTTAGAGACAAATTAAACATTAATCCAGAAGATGGAATGGCAGACTATAGTGATCCCTCTTATGTGAAACAGATGGTAAATGTCAATTCCCTTTTAATACTCTTTAAAAAAATTTTTTTTTTTCCTGGGGGTAATGTTGGGGATTGAACCTAGAGCTTTGTACATGCTAATAAGTATATGCTCTACCCTTGAGGTTACTATATCCGCAGCTCTAAAAATTGGAAAAAAAAAAAAATCTTATGGGTACCAAAGTAAAAATTTCAGCCAGTGTAGATTTCATTTACCTTAGGAATTTATACATCTGTTAATGCCAGAAAACAAGAATGATTTGTAAGAGTTGATGGAAGTGGGGGGGAATCTTTTGTGCTTATAAATCTACTTTGTTACTCTTAATATGCTTGTAAATATTGAAAATGTTGTATCTTTTATCATTTTAATTTTTATCGTTTACTAATGAATACTTTTCTTTCTTTAGGGGTACATGTATTTTAATAATAATTGTTTCTATAAATGAAATTTTAAGTTTTAAAGCCTTATCAATTAGATTTTGAGCCTGAATCCTTCTATTTGCTCCATATATTTAGGACAGCCTAGATCTCAAAGCCAAGTTAATTTTTTTTGTTGTTGATTTCAGTGAAATTTTCTTTTGTATATATTGCAAGGTGATGTAGAAAGCTAACTATAAATAGTTACAGTTTTTGCTTCTGCCCATTTTACTGCTTTTATTACATAAGTCAGTGTAAACTAATAAAGAATGGATTTGGAAATTGGGCAGAGTATATCAGGAAATACAGTAAATACATTATTGTACCTTATTTGATTCCGAAGAAAATCACTGTGAAATTTTAAAAAAATGAGTTCCAGTGATACTGATCTATCTTCAGTTTAGAAATTAATTCTAACTTCATATATAGATTTAGTTAATTTATGATTTAGCACCTAAATTGATATCCACTAAGGCCAACTCTTAAAAAAAAAAAAAGCTATATATGGATTAAACAATTGAGAACCTATGTGTGGAAAACATAAATCAGAAATTTGAGGGGCTATCCTTTGTTTTAACAATGTTTATATTCTAGGGGGATTGGGAAATAAGACTGGAAAGGTGAGCCAAGGATGCACTGAGAAAAGCTTTGGCTACCAGCTGGTTTCTTTGGGAATTTTTTTTATTAGTCCAAGGACAAGTTAACTTTTCTGTTTGTTCTTTTCATTTGCTATTAAATTTCATTGTCAGAAATATATTCTTCCAACAGATCTTCTTATCAGTATTATTAATACTGATTTTTGGCATAAATTTATCTGGGCATTTCAACAGTACACTTAGAAACATGAATATGTTTCATTATGATTGGCATTTTTATAAAAAATAAATGTTGTCTTGTGCTTAAAACAGTGAGTCACAGGGTGGGGTAGTGGGATGAGTACAGTGCTACATAAATAATTTTGTATATGTGAAAGTAAATATCTCATTAGAAATAAAATGTATATGCCAATTACATGGCCTTTGATTTCCTGGAATTAAAACTTTTCACATCTTCTGGACTGAGGAGAACATGAAGAGTGCACACAAAGGACCACTAAGAGTCAAACACAGAAGTCTAAATTGACGTCAGCTAGTCGTTCAGCAGAAGATAACTGATTAATTCATTCTCTGGTTTAACTAAATACTGAGACTCAGTATTTAGGTGCCTGATGAAATGCTTGTACATCGGTGGAAAAGTATGAATAAAAATGAAGATGAAAATGACAGTACTGGTTGTTTTTATAGACTATAATGCCTTTTAGCTAATATAGTATAATTTACACTATGAATGATAAAATAGATTATCTTTAAGAGCATTTTAATTCTCATTGTATATAAGTTTTTTTTTGCTTTGTTGGGGGCATGATGTGCTCTATTAGTATCAATAAAACTCTTTAGGGGCTGGGTTGTGGCTCAGCAGTAGAGCACTTGCCTAGCACGTGTGGGGCCCTGGTTTCAATCCTCAGCACCACATAAAAATAAAAAAAATAAAGTATTGTGTCCAACTAAAACTAAAAAATAAATATTAAAAAAAACCTCTTTAAATGGGAGAGAAAGTACAAAAAACGTATATATATTCTTTCAAATGAAAATCCAGTTGGTCTTTTTTTTTTCTGTTCTAGTGGAGGTGATTTTCAAATATCCTATTGGAATATCCCAGAGTATCTTCATTGATCACAAGTCAAAGCTATTGATTGGTCTTAATATGGAGCAGATAGAAGATAAACAAAAATCTTAGCTCTGAAGCCAGGAATAACTTTTCTAGAATTAATTTTAGGCTAATTTTTTTTTGGAAATTTTTATAGAATACCCATTGGATACTTAATGTGTATGAGTGAGAAGGACCATTTCTTTTCTACAGGAAAGAGAATCTCGTGAACATCTCCGATTAGGGTTGTTGGGACTTCCTGCCCCAAAGAATGATTTTGAAATTGTTTTACCTGAAAATGCTGAGAAGGAGCTCGAAGACCGGGAAGTGGATGATACTTATATTGAAGATGCTGCTGACGTGGATGCTCGAAAGCAGGTGGGTAATAGTGCTGTGAAGAAGAGTGAGTGTTACTAAATATGTCAGGAGGCTTAAAGAATGATGAGTATTGTTAAATGTCTCAAGAACTTAAGGTTTTTTTGATATTTAAAAAATATCCTAAATTAAATTACATTATTAATGTTATTTCCTGATGTAAATCATGGTATACTCACAGTCTCTTGGTGGGTATTTTTGAAGTGTATATATATATATGTAGAGTAATTTAAGTACTCTGTCAAATTCAATATGCTTCTCTAAAATGCAAATAATTTTTTAGCCATTCCTTCAATCTAGTGAAGAAAAGATGTTAAAAGTAAGTAAGTACATCTTAGATTAGTTGGGTAAATAGATTTAAGTCAGTGTAAACTAATAAAAAATGGATTTGGAAATTGGGAAGAGTATATCAGGAAATACAGTAAATACATTGTACTAATATATCTTTTAGTTAATTATTTTCTCATTTGCACATAATAGTCCAGTAATGTATTAGCTCTATTTTTGAAATGAGGTAACAGGCTTAAATGAATTAAGTTAACTTTTCCCAAGTCTTATGGCTGGTAAGTGGTAGTAAATTCCAAACTAAAACTGAGTTTATGTGATCCCTTTCAGTTAATCCCATGGTCGTCCATTTTAGGATGATTTTATGTAGCTTTAATCTCAGGGTTGATGTGAGAATGACATCAATATAAATCATATTTTAGAGGAGAACCATGTGAATCTACTTTTTTATAGGGAGCAGTGGGTGGTACTTTTCATATTTTGCCTTCTGAGCTACTTTGAATTACATTTACTTTCTCAGAAATGCCATGAAATTTTAATGCGTTACCGTATAACTTGAGAATCAGGAAACGTTCACTAGCTTTTTAAATTATAAGTCAGTAGCTTTGGGGTTAAAAGAAAGGGTTGTTGGGAAATCTCCTTTGTGTTTAGGATTCTCATTTAGACAAGAAAAGTGGTTGTCTGATGCATAGAGCCAGATAGATTTGGAGACTGCTGTAGCAGACATTGAAATTTCTTAGTTTCTATTGTATTGAGAATGAACGGATAGATTTTCATGGTCTTACTATTACCTTTCTACAAACTTACACAAATTTCTACAGATTTAGCTTTTGAACATTATTGATTTTACAGACTAAAATGTTTTCAGCTTTATTGAGAAGTGTCAAATACTGTATAGCTGCAATAATGGATATAAAATTATTGTTTAGGCCATACGAGAGGCAGAGCGGGTAAAGGAAATGAAACGAATGCACAAAGCTGTCCAGAAAGATTTGCCAAGACCATCTGAAGTAAGTATTAAAATTTCTGACTGAAGAAGTTTTAAGTTTTATATGATTGATGCTTTTTATATCATTCATAAAGACTGTAAAACAAAATTTCATCTACTTCCTGGAATATAATAAAGCAAGTCCCAGTAGTCTTTAAAATGACGTACTGATACCAGTAAGAATTTAGAAGGGGAAAAAATGCTTTTTAAAATGTAAAACTGCTATGCTGTAAAAGGAATAACATTAGTATGTTGCAGTGATATGTTTGGTAATTGTACTTGTTTTACAATTTTTAGGTAAATGAAACTATTCTAAGACCTTTAAATGTAGAACCACCTCTAACAGATTTACAGAAAAGTGAAGAACTAATCAAAAAAGAAATGATTACAATGCTTCATTATGACCTTCTTCATCACCCCTATGAGCCATCTGGAAATAAAAAAGGAAAAACTGTTGTATTTGGTACTAACAATTCTGAGCACATTGCTTATCTGGAACATAACCCTTATGAAAAGTTCTCCAAAGAAGAGCTGAAAAAGGTATGATTGAGCAGGAATATTTCTGCCATGAGATTTAAGCATTTGTTAGATGCTGTGTGTCATGGACAAATGTGAACTTATTTTGCCACATTAATATTCATGAACAACTGAAGCATTTGGTTAGGAGATAAGTGTTTATGAAGTGTTAGGAAAAGGACATACTTTATTCTCACCCCACATGTGTATCAGCTAAACATTGGTTCTGGTAGCAAGGTGTTTTGATTCATGGGTGTATTGGCTTGTTCAGTAATTGCTGCCGTTCCCACTTCCTGTGTTCAACTCTGCTGTCTCTGAAAAGAATTGGATGCCTTTAAAGCTCACTTATATACAGATCCTCATTGACTTTTGTTGTTGTTGTTAATTATTTGTTTTTTAGTTTTAGGTGGACACAATATCTTTATTTTACATTTATGTGGTGCTGAGGATCGAACTCAGTGCTTCATGCATGCTAGGCGAGTGATCTATCACTGAGCCACAACCCCAGCCCCCACTCATTGACTTTTGATGTGGTTATATACTGATAAACCCATTACAAGTTGAAAATACCATTAAGTTGAAAATGCACTTAGTACATCTAACCCACCAGACATGATAGTTTTATCAATACAGTACACTGTAAAATGAATGCGTGGCTGACAGGGAGCTAAGGGAGGAGCAGCTTATCAGCCTTTCAAGAAAGTATTATCCTGCCTGTTGCTAGCCTAGAAACAGATAAAAATTCAAGATTTAAAGTACAGATTGAATTGGATGTATATTGCTTTCACACCATTGTAATAACATAAAAAGTCTAACCATTGTTAGTTGGGGACTGTCTACTTTAAAAATATTTTTAGATGTGCTGAGTTTGTAGCTTAGTTATAGAGTGCCTGCCTAGCCTAGGCAAGGCACTGGATTTGAGCCTCAGTGCCACATAAAAAAACAAAACAAAAAACCCAAATAAATAAAATAAAGATTAAATTCTTTAAAAAAAATTATAGATTAAACAGTTTTTCTGTTCAAAGAAAGGAAATACTTTTTATGAAATTTATTCCCTTCATATGATTTCCCTCTACCCTTTTATATAAGGAAACAATTTCTTGTATAAACTCTGTATCCTATCTCTTCCATGATATGCATTTTATTTTTTCTGCTTTGATCAACAAATCTGTACAGTAGCATAAGAAAATAGTTTATTTCCTAGCTGGAAGCTGCTGTGATTTGAAACTCCCTTCTAAAATTCATGTTGAATTTAATTGCCATTGTAATAGTATTAGGAAGTAGGGCCTCTAAGAAGTTAGGTCTGAAGGCTACACCTTCATGAGCGGATGGGTTGTATCTGGAGTGAGTGAGTTATCTTGGGAATGATACTGTCTGCCGTGGTATAGTGTAGCAAGAAAGCCTTACCAGATGTAGCCCTGTGATTTTGGACTTCCTAGCCTCCAGAATTGTGAGAAAGAAATTTCTTTTCTTTTTAAATTATCCAATCTGTGGTTTCCTTTTTTAGCAGCCAAAAATAGGCTAAGATAGAAGTAAAGCAGTCATTTACTTGTCTTTTTTTCTTTAATATTAGACCCTGAGAGGCAGTGATGACTCTAATTTGGAATGAGCTGCTGCACACTTGGGAGAAATTACAGGATTCTTTCTCCTATCTTCTATTCTGCATTATTCCTCTTTATATCTTTCTTGGTTTCTTACTATTTTCCTTACTATAAACTAATACATATTTTTATAGGAGTTTTAGACAGTAGAGAAAGAGGGGAGGGTTTATTAATAACTTGCCCCTGATTTCTGAATAACTTTGAATGACATTTATTTTTGGTAAGTGGGATAGTGAAACTGACATCTGTTGACATCTATGCCTCCTCTCTGTCAGGCTCATTTAATAATTGAATTAAGAGTTGAGACTCAGGTTCTGAAATCAATACTTGAATAGTTTCCTCTTTAGAGTGAAAATATGAGGAAAAGGAATTTAGAAAATAAATATTCCTAAATTTATTTTATGTATGCAAATCTGAAACAAGGATCACATTGTTGCTTTTAGAGGTTCTGTAGGGGATACATTTTTCTATTACAACCTTTAAAAATAATAATTCTAAGTATTACTTTGGGATTATTTGAAACAATATTAAATATTCTCCCATTTTTTTATCTGTGAATTTCTCTTTGTTCTAAAAAGAATTTGAAACAGTTATTTCAAAGCAGATTCTTTATTCTTACTCTTTAAAGATGACTTACTACATTCTCTCCTAATGACAAGAGCCAAAACTTGTAAATTTTTACTGTGTACAGTGTACCATTCCTTTTTGAATGAGGTTTCAGATTTTCATTTATTGTTTGTTTTCATTGTTTCCCTTGAGAAGTATTACTTAACAATATCAGTTCTTTATTTTCTATAGACATAATTTTTTAATTTTGGTTAAAATTTTGCTTTTTTGGGCATTTCTTTTGATTTTTTAAAAACATATTTTGATATATATTTATTTTCCAACATTACCAGAAAGATTGAAAACCTTCTGTAAGGCATAGAAGATGGTTGTCAGTTTTTCATTAGCTATGATACAAGGGTTTATGATATGTTCATGGAATTCTGTGTGTCTGGTGTTGGACTGAGCTCTTTGCATATATTGTTCATTTAATCCTAATGACAAACATATCAGGTAGGTGCTGTCCCCATTTTATGGATGAGAAATGGGCTCAGAGAAATTAAACAATTCAGACAGCTATTCAAATGTTAAAGCTATGATAACCTAGGCCTGTCTTGCTCCTTTCCCTGTCATCCTGTCATTTTAAACTGTTCCTTTTATAGCAAACCAAAGCTGCTGTATGAACTTTATTTATGACTCCAGTCTCATTATCTGGCAATGTTAGAGGTCTTCTTTCAGGAAGAGAAAAAAAAACCTTTCGTCAAAAAGAGGCCTGATTCCCCTTCACCATTCTGTGAGGTGATGAGTTTGAGGTGGAATGGGAAAGTGGATGGAGCACACCCAAGCATTGTGCCATTTTGTCTTTAGATCCTTCTTTATCTGATTACTAGTGATGTGGTCTTGAACAAGTTTATAATCTGCGAGCCTCAGTTTACAGCTTTGAAACAAGGTTAAGCCCAGCATGATGGCACATGCCTGTAATCCCAGGGCTTGGGAGGTTGAGGCAGGAGAATTCCAAGTTCAAAGCCAGCCTCAGCAACTTAATGAGGCCTGTCTCAAAAATAAAAAGGGCTGGGTTTGTGACTCTGTGGTAAAGTGCCCCTGGGTTCAATCCCTGGTACCCAAAATCAAAAACAACAAAACAGCAACAACAATGGAAAACTGAAGTGAATGAATATTGGCTGTTTTGTAAGGTAGTTGTGATCTTTGGAGATAATGTATGTAAAACTTTTAAATCCAGTTTCTGACATATTATAGATGATTGATTTAAGAAATGGTAGCTGCTATTATAATGAGTGAAAACTAAAGATGTTTGTACTATAGGGGAAACACAGATGCTTGACATTTTAAAATCAGTCTATATTGACTTATAGGTATAATAACTCAATTGGCTTAGGTATTGCCTTCCACCTCCTCCAAAAAATGATCAACCAACCAAAACTCCTTGCCTTTAGCCTAAGGAAGGAGGGAAAAAAACCTAGTCTTTTTAAATTCTCTTCTGGTGATGACAAGTATTTTTAGTACTTAAACTCACTGAAATTATTATTCTCAACAGGCCCAAGATGTTCTGGTGCAGGAGATGGAAGTGGTCAAACAAGGAATGAGTCATGGAGAACTCTCGAGTGAAGCTTATAACCAGGTGTGGGAAGAATGCTACAGTCAAGTTTTATATCTTCCTGGGCAGAGCCGCTATACACGGGCTAATCTAGCTAGCAAAAAGGACAGAATTGAATCACTTGAAAAGAGGCTTGAGGTTGGTATCCTTTTAAAATTCTAATTCAAATGTATCTTGATTTAAATTATGAAGTAAATAGTGACACTGGTTACAATTTCAATAAAATAGACCTGAGCTGCTTATTGCCTTTGCAATTTTTGAATAAAACTAAACTCAAGTGTTTGATCATTCTTGGCCCAGTTCATTGGTTTTACACAATTACAGGCCTTCCAAAGAATGTCCTCCCTGCAGGTAAACCACAGGTTAGTCTGTACCTTTTAAATGTGGGAGCAGCTACCAAGTTGATAACTGGTCACTCAGAATACTGTAGATTAATACTATATAACAGTCTGTTTTTCTCTATGAAGAGATTTCAGTGGTATCAAGGAGTTTCCTTTTTATAGCCAAAATAGCACATTTAAAAAACCTTGATATTTTTCTGTCTATTCTCTGATTCCTTTAAATTTGAATTAAGAGGGTGGAGTTGGATTACTTAGACAATGGCTTCTAGGATTTTCCATGTCTAAGAAAACATTGAAACATACTAGATGCAGTTTCATGGCCATGTGGTTTCTTAATATAATCTGCTTGTTTTGAATTCCAGAATATGTATAGGCATTTTGCCACTGGCATGTGAATTGTGGTTCATAGACCTCCAGGCTGCCTTGTGGATTCTTAATGGTGGTCTTTAGGGATATATCAAAGACCAAGACGGGATGGGAAGAAGGGGCATTTAAAGCAATTTCATGTAGAAAAAGGCCTCAGTTTCCTCTTTTATGAGATTATTAGTTTTTCTTTACAGAAAGCAGATTTGAGAATATTTTTATTTAGAGTTAAATCCAGATAGAGTAAAATTACTTAAGGTGGTTGGGGGTGGGTGGAGCCAGAGAAAGAAGCAGGAAAAAACCAGTATCTTTTCATCTGAAAGTTATTCTAAGTTTTACTTTAACCTTTAAGATCATATGTATAGGCATCTGATGGTTAATGCCCATGAATCTATGTTTTCAGTTAGTGGGAAATTAGTGTTTCAGGGCTGCTGATTATTCTAGTTGTGTTATTAACTTCCAGCAGGGTGTGCTGTTGCTCTGTGTTTTAATTTTGAGTTAAAGTTGGGGAAAGTAGAACATCAGTGGTTAAATTGTATATTATATTTCTGTTGTGTAGGCTTTATTTCCTATAAATGGTAGTTAGCAGTGTAATTCTGATCTAAGGTCAGCATTATAATTGATTGGAAAGCTATTTGGAAATATTCCTTGTAACATTTATATATATAAATACTTAGTTCTCTCACTTAGTTTGAAAATCTTCTTATTTGAGGTGGGTAAACTCTTTCTGCCGCAAATGGCAAGGACATTTTGTGCTGTTTAAAGAAAAAAGAAAAAAAGAAGTTTTTCCCTAAATCTCATTTAGTTTGTTGAGGCACTAACTTTCATGACAGCAAATAAATGTGTCACAAAGTGAGTGGTGCCATAAAGTACAGTAATTTTTATTTCGATGTTGAATTGGTCTTGTGAGTTTTGAAGGGAAAAATACAGAAAGAACCACTGCTGTTCTTTTGGAGATTTATTTGGGTCGTTTATGAGCAACCATTAAAAACATGTGGTTCTCTTTGTTCAGTTCAGTACCAGGAACTGAAATCTTCCGTTGAACTATTTTTGTTGAAGGATTGGTGACTTTGGAAGAATATTCATAAAACAGTCTGGAGTAATTTTTCTCTTCTTGACTCCTGGATAACTTGCTTTATTGTTTATCCAGCTAGTTACTTTTAAGGAATACTTAATCAGATCCTTTAATTTAGTAAACTATGCTTATTTCAAATGAAAGTTCATTAAATCTTTGAGAAGAAGAAAAACAACTCAAAGACCCAAATAAACAAATCCCCCATTTTATTTGTATCCATCCCTAATTCAGAACTGTATTTCTCTTTGCTTTTGAAGACACAGCTTTACTGGTTTAAAATACATAAATATTTTATTTCAATTGTGGTACTTCTTTCATCATTTCAGTTGATTGCTAAATTATAAACATTATTCAAAGTTTGTTGTGGGGAAGGAACCCCAGTTGTATTGTATAAACTAAATGCTACACTTAAATTATCCTTTCCACTTTCAGGTTCAGGGAGACAGGCCTTTCTGGGCAAGCATAGTGCACCATGGCTGCCAGTGTGTTTGATTTTTGCTGCCATGAACTTTGGAACAGTGAATCTAAATTGTGGCCCTATCACAGCCTATCAAGCAAGATGAGACCCAGCTTTATGGTGCCTGGTGTCTTCTAAGTGTATGTGCCCTGAGGTTTATATTGGAGCTATTTTTTGAGTCATTAGTCATGATTAATATTTGAAACTTAGCACTTAAATGAAAGTCCTTAAGATACCCATTTAAAATTAACAGAACCATCTCAGATTTTCGGGGGAGAGAGAGAGAGAGAGAGAGAGAGAGAGAGAGAGAGAGAGAGAGAGAATGAGAATGTGTGTGTGTGTGTGTGTGTGTGTACACATGTGTGTGTGTACATGTGTGTATGCATACCCGTGCACAGAGTCTGTTAAATACATAGAATCTGTAGTAACAGTTCAGAAGTAGAATTGTAACCCAAGTCCATATATTTTATTCTGCTTTAGAGACAGATTTAACTTCAGAACCTTGCCAGACATTTGTGTGTAAAAGAAGGGGGTGGTGGTGGAGGCGGCAGCGGCAGCAGTAGCAGCAGCAGCAGCAGCAAGGAGACATGATAGCTCATATGAGAAAAGGAAAAGCATAGCATGGGGGGCGTTTTAACATGGTAGCAAAAAGTCCTGTGCATTTTAATAGCATCAGAGGATTAAGTGTCTGATAGCAGAGTGGAGTGATTGCCATTTCTAGTGATACTCAAAGTAAGAAGAAAGTCTTGATTTCTGTTCAGTGTCTTTTTTTTTTTTTTTTTTAAAGGAGGAATGACTGTAATTCGTCGTCGGGAAATTTTCATTAAATGGTTAAAAATAAAAGTTTTACAAAAGTAAACAAAACAAAAATTTACTCTTGCATTTAGTGACTTTCTGAACATCTAGATACTGTTCTAGGCTCTGGTGGACATAATGGGGAATGAGATAGATGAGCTCTGCACTTTTGTGGGCTTTAGTTATCTGGAAAATGCTTAATGTGGAGAACTTCATTTTCTGATGATGCCAGACAAATGAGTCATTTTTGTGTTTGGGAAGTGCAAATAGAATTTGAAGTGTTCTAATTTGTTTCCACTTTAAGTGGAAATAGGAAATCATCTGAAGACATAATTATTTTGAGTGAAATAATTTCCAGTAGGTGCAAAAGTGAAATGAAAAGTCTGAATTTAGACCTGCCATTAAATTTAATAGTATTTGAAATAGTATCTAAACTGCTGTGTTGGGGAAGTTTGGCTGAAAAGTGGATTTTGTCATGTTAGCTATAAAAATGGAAAGGCTTTCCTTAGAGGTAGAAACTAGGTCCAGAAGTAATACTTCTTCCTGTATTTCACTGGCACAGTCAATGTAGTCAAGAAATATTATGTAACATTGACTTCTTGGAAATAAAGTAACTTAAAGAACACAGATAACACATTTAAAATCCTTCTCAGTGTTTTTGTAAAACTCTTCTGAGGACCCCTGACTTTGCTGAGGATTATATTTCAGCAGAATTGGCTGTACAATGGATCCTATTTTCTCAGTGATTTTCATTAAGTCAGATATTTTTACACAGAAAAAGATTTCCTTAATACTTTAGAGTGAAAACTTAGGGTAAAGATTAAGTTGGCAGGCAGTGCTGGTTAGAGAGTTCCGTGTTGGAAGTATCACAGCAGTTTATGCTTATGTTCCCTAGAGTGTGTAGTGTAGGAGAGGAGTTCACAGTTCTTTGGAATATTGTGTCCCAAGTTCTGCTGTCTGCCATAGCCCTTTAAGGTACTGACAGATTTCTTAGTTGTCTCTAGCAAGAACTCTTGAGAGCTGGACCAGGGACCTCCTTGGTACAACCATTTTACTTCTTGAATTTGTTTCGGGCAATTCATGTTTTATTTCCTAACCTATGGAACTATAAAGTGCTCTGCATTGCTTTGTTAGTTTATTACTACCCTTGGAAAGTTTTTTAGTAGGTTTTCCCTCACTGGTTAACTTGCTTTGCAGGGATTCAGTCGGATGGTTGCTAACTCTGATATATGATGACAGTAATCACTTACTTGGACCTGTATCTCATCAGTAAAGGGAAGGTTCACTGAAAAAACTAAATGCTAGTGAGGACTATGGAGATGAAAGGAAAGTCACTCACAGGCTCTTATTTGCAAATGTTTTGGTGATTGAACCACATCTTTGCTATTATAGGATCATATTGCTGAATGATGGACTAGGAAGTGGAGCTGCCATCAACAGTGTATTTATTTTGTGTATTCTTAAACCTGTTTTTACAGTAGTATAAGGTTTTATTCTGGGCCCCCAAGCAAGAGTTTCAATGAGGGATGCTCTTAATTTTTCTGAACCTCACTGTAACAGACTTTACTGAAGACAGTATTGGAGACCCAAGGATAATGTGTTTATTTTGGAATTACTTAAGCTTAGTAACCTTAACAAACTCACTGAGCTTGAAAGTAACAATTACACTTTTATAAGTCCCATACAGCTCTCTTTTGTAATGACCCGAGGAAACACTTATGGTTCCACTGATTCATCTCCTGGGGACCATTGGTTTTCCACTGGTCTCTGGCCAGTCCTTTTTAGACAGTTTCTCTTCTATGCATTTTTTAAAAATAACATTTTTAGACGTTTTTCTAAAAATAATACCTGTGCTTTGTAGAAAATTTAAGTGAAATAGGAAAAATATAGAAGTCGTCCACTGTCCAGCCATAATCACCTCAAATATTTTTGTACACACAGACATGTATGTAATCTTTTATCCCCCCAATGTGCAGATGAAGGGAGGAAGGTGTTTTAAAACTAAATTGGGGTCATCCTATACTACATTTATCATTTAACAGTATAATATTGTAGGTATAATTTTTTTAAAAGAGAAACTTTATCATTTACTCTCATTTAAATTCTT